GTCCTGGTGTGTCCAGAAAACGTGGGAACACCAAGAAGACATCTGCTGATTTGCTTTCATCATTGACTATTGCTTGGTGATAAGTGAAGGTAGCTTTCATCTTCTCACGGACAGTGTCTTCATCAGCAGAGTGTTTGTCCTGTATCCATGTGACTCTTGCCAGGACAAGTAACAACTCACAAGTGTAACAACAAATCACTATTGTTATGATCTACACTAAGACGCTATACCTTTGCAAGATCTGCTGACAGAGGCACCTCTATCTTCTGCAGTTTTTCTTTGTATGGTTTTTAATCGCCATGCAAGGTATCCAGAGCCACTCTCAGGGTCGTAGTAGTGTTCCGAAGTAATTACAAATTCATTAATAACAATACTATGAACTTACCACTGAGTGATGTACATTATGCTGGTTGTAATGACACTTTTACTTACATATCCATGTTGTGAAAAACAGTCTTCCAAATAGGGAAACAAAGCCACAATGCCCTGGTGGGGGTTTAGAGCAGCTGGTTGAAAGTGACTGTGGTCCTGTGGTCGTGAAAGTGTTTGTGAGACTGAAGATGTCACGACCTTGTAAGAGTCAGTAATTGGTAATGATTTAATGTTTGTGAAGATTTCTTTTATAAATATTTATTGTGATTTCTATAATATTCGACTTGAGTCTTGCAGTTGTTGGTGACTCTAATATAAAAAGAAAAAGAGTAAAGAGTTTCAGTATTAAAAATACAAGCAGATAAATGATTCAGGTGAGGTGACCTACAAGTGGCATCAGCTGCATTAAAAAAATGGTGTCCGTCACAGTCATACTGCATATGTTGTTATTTTAGAAAAATGTATTTTGTCTTCTTTATATTTCCCTGTATGAGAAGCAGTTTTGTGAGTTCTGTTCAGTGGCACCTGTAACTGTTCTGACCCTGCAGCTGCATGATCTCAGGATGTAGAAAAATACTATTTGAGACAACAATTCCGTTAGCTGTTGAAGACTTCATACATTTCACGGTAAGTTTTATTTTTAAATGACATTTGCGAGAAAAAAAACACAGGATAGATTAAAAATAGACTTAACAATGAAAGTTTCATTTCGTCACAATGCACTATTATACCCACAAATGTGCTCCAATGTTTAATGTCCAAAAGTTGCTGTACCAAAAAAGTTT